CTCCGTGTTGATTTCGTCGCGACCGGATCTAGTGAGTTCTTTGGTGAATATTTGATGAAATGGGGGTCTTTGGGTGGAAGTGCTCTTGAAAATCAATTTTAACAATGTCAACAACAATCAAATAAAATCTTTAATTGGGCAGTTTATTTGATTAGTACTTTTAATGTGGTTTATTCAAAGAATGTTAAAGCACATTGTTGCTGGTGAGCTAACGCTATATAGTATTTTTATTGGCTATTCAATTTGGTCACATGGTTGCAATCCGGATCGGATTAAAAATCACGTGTAACTACACGGCTTTAACGGACCCCTTTGTATAGTAATGATCCGTAATGGTAATGATAACCTGCCTTGTATAGTAATGATCCGTAAAATTAACCAATATTATTGGTTAATTTTACGGATCATTACTATACAAGGCAGGTTATCATTACCATTACGGATCATTACTATACAAAGCAAGTTATGAACAAAAATCATTACTGTTACGGAATCGTTTTGGGATGATTAAGCTAACTTTTAAGATCAAGTTTTACCTGCCATTTTTTAGTGTAGATCTTATACATAATAATCAGTTTGACCAATCATAATTTTTTTATTAATATCTTTAAGTGATAATATACATGTATTATATAATTGATACATGTAATTGACTCCGTGATCGACATTATCATCCAACAACTAATTCAACAACGTGGTAACGGTAAGACCAAAAAACTAAATTAGGACAAAAAGTGATACAGGTAAAAAAAATTTATTAAACATATAAATGCTACCTTATTTACCATTGTAATTAGAACTTTTTTTCTACAAACAGAATATTTAATCTACTATCATTTTTTCTTTTATAATGGCAAATGAGTAGAAGTGACATTATATGCTTCTGTTCTTTTCTTACAATATAAATTACTTCAAAAGAATTTCGAACTTATCTAACGAAACACGCCCTATCGTACGAATATCAGACAGGGACACAAATATAATAGCAGGGAGTCAAATGGTCTTTGAGCCCGAAATGCTATACGCAACAGCAAACGTTTCGAATGATCTAACCATTAATATCCCAGTGCCAACACTCAAAGAACTCCTGGAAATCCAAAAGGTGAATAGTTCATCTCCGCAAACTTCTTTGGTTGACAATCAAATCAATAAAAGCGCATTTGGGCTGTTTCTACTTGCATTTGGGAACGAAGTTTACAAGAAAACAAGATTGTCTGCAAAATTGTGGGGTAAATTTGCAGTGACCGGAAGGGAAATTTGGAGGAATGCCGATGAAGCATATCGAGATGCTTTTGATAAACTTGTTGAACTAAATTCTCATGATGAATAAGTTTTTTAAAAGAATAGTCGGATTTATATCTAACAAATAAGTTTTTTAAAAGAATAGTCGGATTTATATCTAACAAATAAGTTTGAAAAAACGCGTTTATGTTAAGAGAAGTCAGCAATATTGTTCACTTAGTTAATTATATTTTATCAAATAAGCCAATAAAAATTTTTAATTTCCACCTTTTCTATTGAATAACTACTGTATTCGTTTATAATATTACACAGTGAATACTGAAGAGATACCAATATCAAATATTGATATAGAGAAATTAACGTTAAGAAAATTAATAGATAATCCAAGACTTGTACCACTTACACCATCATATCTTCCACAATACGACGACGAGATCGTTCTAAAATAGACACACAACTGGCCGTCGTTCGATTTTTTAAGTCGACGAGATCGTTCTGAAATAGACACATAACTGGCCATCGTTCAATTTTTCAAGTACGCGCGGTCTTCACAATACGACGACGAGTTCGTTCTGAAATACACAACTGGCTGTCGATCAATTTTTCAAGTACGTGGAGCTTCATACCCGCCCGAAGACGCGCAAAATTTAATAAACCAAATTCACAAATTGAAAACGGAAACGAAGTTTTCGAAGAAGACATTCAGATTTTTGAATCAATGTAAATAATAAATCGGATACTAAAAAGAGAAAGTTTCGGAGTTGAGCATCGACGAATTATTGAAATTAACAGGTTTGCTTGATAACAGTCATACAGAACAGAATACGAATACGATGGAATTACAGCCGAGTCAATTAAACGTTTTTTTCATTTCTCGTTTATGTTGGTTAAAATTCAGAAAATGCGGCTATGTATATTAATTAATGAATGATATTAACATATATTTTTTATACGAATATTCTACATATAGATATTTCAAACTCGGCGATTCAGCATTGTTGATACAAACTAAAAAAAATGATAAAAAAAATATTAATGCAATTATATCTCTATAAACATTTTCCAGCTGCAAATTTATGGCATTGCGGTCATTTACTGCAACTGTTCGCTATAATATTACGGCTTGACCATAATCTCACAATCAAAAGTAATGCAACAAATGCAGTAATTCAAAAAATGATACATCAATAGTGTCGCTTTTATCTAAAATCTAATTAGTTCAAGATATAGTCAAACTCCCTTAACTGAAAAGTGAAATTAGAGGAGTGACTATAAAAAATATATTTTAATTATAGTCACTTAATAGTTGGAAAGTCAAATTGGGCGACTATAGAGAGGTATCACTTAATAGTTGGAAAAGTCAAATTGGGTGACTATAGAGAGGTGTGACTATAACTACAGAGGGTTTATTTTTAACAGTCTTATATGACCTTTTAAATAATTGGAAGGTAAAATCAATTTTATATTAAAATCTGTTAAATCATAAGAAATACTTAATAATATTATTATTTTAGAATTACATTAACTCAATTCGCCAGACGTTTCATACAAGATACTTGCTAAATTTGCTGAAATCTTGTATCTAGACTAGAAGAATCTGTTAAACACATTTTATTCCTAGCATTTAGTACATTCAAACTTGGCATTATGGCCAATTTCTCATCAAAGTTACGAACAAATCTTGGAAAATTTAGACGATCTTTTGTGTACGAAATGTTACTATCGCTAGTTAACAAGTACACAAAAGGTCGTTGTGTTAATAAAAAGTCAACTTTTTATAGTACTATATTTATTCATTATTTTTTGGTATATTACATATTTCATCTGAGTTTGGTTTTTATCATCTTTCTATTTAGGGATAGGAATTGTAAAATCTTCTTAGAATCATTTCAATTCCTATTCCTAAATAGAGAGACGGTAAAGACCAACAGCGATGATTAGGATCTTAAAAAATTAACAACATAGAATAGCTTAGAAAATATTATTAACGAAATTACTTTGGGGTTTAAATTTTCTCTAAGGGAATATTTTATGCTGCGAAATACGGTGAATTTAGCAAACTGTTTCTTTTTAAATATATATTTTTATAATTGTTAAAATTTTAAAAACATATTGTTAATTTACTTTGAAAAAACATGCATTAAAAGGAAAATGGTCAAATGTAAAAACTTGCTTCGAGAATTAACATGACGCGAAGTTTAAACGGGAATGGTTGATTTAACACTTGAACTAGCTATAATATTTATTCCAATCGCATATTTGATACTTTTATTAAAGCTCACCGGTGCCCAAATTAAACTAAGGGTACGACTAGGGCTAGAGTAAGGGTAAGGGTAAAGGAAATATGTTCAGTGTTAGCTCACCAGTGACAATCACCACCGGCAAGCTTTAGCAATACTCGATAAATATTACCAAAACACCCACAAGTTTATCAATCAGTTTTTTGAGTTTTTGGTTCTATTTTGAACTATTCATGTCTAATTATATGTATTGAAGAAAAAACGTTTCTAGAATGGTGAAAGGTTCAAAATTTCCCTGCCAAAGATCTTGCAAGCAAAGCATGACATGACAAACATAAAACGCCCAAGCAAAATTTTCGAAAAAATTAGCATCGATCTTTCTGTATGGCTAATTTACCTTTTAGCCTTTTAACAATGTGTTTATTTCAAGATCGGACATAAAAAAAGATTTCCACTGCACCAAACCACTTTGTATCCCAAAACAAACACGCACAGTAAATCCGTCTTTCATATCACGCACACTTCGCCACTTTTCGCCACTTTGAGAATTGCCAAAATCTCTCGAAAGGATCTTCTCTCCAACTGCGCTAGAAAGAAAACAAACATTCAAGCACCCCCAAGCAAAAAGTTTTGCTTCAAAAAATCTTTTCCGTTTTCTTTTACGCGACAGTTCTCTATTGATTTGCTTGTTTGTTTGCTTGAAAAAAATTGATTTGGATCACGCACAGGCCAAAAACATATGAATCAGGCGGAAAATTTCATTCTCCTTCGAAATAGGAATATCCTTAAAATTTACAGATCAAATTGAAGTCACATTTTTTTGATTTATTTCAAGAAATAAAAATTGACATACAAGTGTGAAATGCAGGGGATGCTTAATGCGTTTCAGAATACTGCGGAATAGTTGAGAATTCCCAAATATAGATTTCTAAGTTTCGTAGCTGAATTACTAGATAAGATACTTCGATTCGAGTAATTACTCTTCTTTTCCGTCGATTATAGGCCGTAAAACGACTTTGGGTCTTATCATGACTTTTTCTGTCGTCATTAATGTTAAATGCATAAAATAAAGCATAATGCTTAGGAAAGATCTTCAAACTTTAAAGTAAGATGTAAATTTCTGATTGGTGCGAATGTGATGAAATATACGAAGAAATATGTGATACATGAAAGATTATGTGGGCGTTTGAAATATGCATACTAAACGTTCTCCGAAAACCAAAGGTATTAATTAGTAAAGACATTACCAGTGAACTTATTTCTTTGCACTCTACAAATATTAGAAGAAAATATAGATAGTTTGAATAAATATGTCATGGCATTCAAACAAACAAGCTTTCAAACTAGGTAGGTATATTACTTACTTACAAATACTCCTACCCTCCCCCCCCCATTGTTTAAACTTTATTTGGATAGACTCAGTTCTTAATAATGAGAATATCATAACAAAAACGCAAACAATTCTGCAAAAGATAGTTACTTAAGGATCTTACAGAAGCAAAAAAATTTTCGTTTTATTTTTTCTTTACTCTTCGTTTTTTAGTTTCGGAAGCGAAACAAAAAAACCATAGTTTTTTGCGATACGAAGATTATTTCTTTTTCTTTAAATACTACTGAACTACCGTTATACAATATATTTATATACATATATATTTATATATACATATACGTTCTAAGTTTTCGAATCGAATGAATGATCTTCCTATTCCGGTAATTGTCTATGTATCGGTATGTGTATGTGTGTGCAAGGGTAATGCATCATTGTTAAAGAATCCTTGGCAAGTGATAAGCAGTTTCAGCTAAAGTATACTGTATATTATTATCTGTAAAGAGTCAATCGCTAAAGGAATAAAGATAATGATTGCTTCTCGAGATCATTTGACAATATTCGTTTTTATTAACGGTTATGTGTCAAATAATCGACTCATTTTATTTTATATTTACATTTATATGTATATGTATATGCTTATATACGTATAATATACAATGTACCGATGTAATATAATGTAAATCAATAACTATTCTTGCTAGAAACACGTTAATCATATTTTTACATACTTTATCCAGGTAAGGAACTGGTTTTCGGGTGGGGGAGAATGTTTCTGTGAGAGTGTGATTGGATGACTGATGGTAATGGATGACGGGTGTCTCGGGCCCTTTGATCGACAAATAGGGAAAATACTCGCACAAACTTAGATATCTGAATTACTATTATTTGATTTTGGGGTTCGAAAATCTTGATTGTGTCTTGGGAAAGTTTGAAACACTCTGATTGATTATTAATGCATACACTATTTTTTATGTTACTTCAAGTGAACGAATAACACAACACTTTATTTTTATGTTACTTAAGTGAACGAATAATCTGCCAATTTATATTGACATCAAAATTTCTATTCTTATTTTTTGTCAGTACTCGTGGTAGATAACAGATCTGAGCGATCCAAATAAAACTAACTAAATAAATTATTTGTTTAAAGATCTTTTGTCAATCAGTACACGTATATTTATTACTTTATTGATGAAAGTAACCGATCACTAGACACAAGATAAAACAGGATGTTTCGGTTTAGATATATAATGACGCTGTTTCGCACCATCTTTAATCAACTTTCTTTCGATAAAGTTTTTTCTACCAAACAAATAATAATTATATCTCTTGAAAAAATATCTAATCTACCAAATGGCATTCATACAACACCAAGAAGTTTTTTTCTCATATTCTCAAGAGAATGTTTGCAGAGACAGCATTTTTAATACCAATCCAAATACATGTTTTCATAGTCAAAAAAAATTTGACCATTGTGCTGCGGCACTAAATGATGACCTACAATTTCCTGCCGATGACATTTCACGAGTGCAAATGTTGTTGGAATATCTCAATATCAATGGCGATAATAATACCATCGCCGAGGAAACCAAAACTTTTGACCCAACCACATTGCATTTCGAAGATTTCGACGGTGTCTATTATGAAGACGAGACTTCATCATCCAATAATAACAGCAATTACGATGACGACTACTGTTCCTCGGATTTTGACAGCATCGAGTACTCGGACGGAAAATCATCATCCACAGACGACGACGAAAGTTTGCAAGATTTCACCCCAATCGACGAGTGGAGAAAAAATTGTCTCTACGATACCGAAGATCAATTAATTTCAAACTTCCAATTGACGCCGGTGAAACGTCGCCGAATTTCAAAGTGTATGCAGTATGAGCGACAATTACGAGAGCTCGAACAAGAAATGGAGGATCGGTTAATTGAACAAGAGATTATGGGATGGATGGATGAATGTGAAGAACAAGAGAATGTTGATTATTAATATTAAGCATATCATCATATCATGTCATGTCATAAGAAATATTTTCTCAAACTAAGACATTATTATCGCCGAGGATTTTTCGCTTATGTTTTTGATTTTCTTTCACATTGTAAATATTCACACATTCAGAAAGAAAAAACCATTAATTACTTAATAATTTAAATTCAAAAAGTATTATCAAATAAAATCCCGATATGTTATTTTAATCAATGCTTGAATAAAAATTTAATCTATGTATAAATGCAAAAAGTATTATTGAATAAAAAATTTAATCTATGTATAAATGCAAAAAGTATTATTGAATAAAATCCCAATATGTTATCGTTATGCTCGAATAAAAGTTTGTTAATAAAATCCCAATATCGATGTTATTTTAATCAATGCTATTAATGCTCGGATAAAGTTTGTAAACAAACGTACTTGTGTCCATTTTGAAAACGATATTCACCCGAGTTTTAAACTTTGTACATGTATCACTTACGAGTTAAACTATAAACTAAAAGATAACCTCTCATTTACTTAACGGAGAAAATAGAATAACCTTTTGTTGACATCTGTCGTGCAACTGTTCATATTATACAATAATAATTGAAACTTATAAAATGACGACGACGATTTGTACTATATGCTACTAAATAAAGCAAATCAAAAAAATATTTTGGGATTTTGTTTACGATGAAAGAAACAATGGACCGTAATCAATATTATTATAAAGAATTCGAAAGAGAGTATTTTTCTTTTCTTTTTCCATAAATGTCCATATTTGATATGTACGATAATAAGACATCATCAAAGTGAAAAATTGACGCATCATTGTCTCTCGAGAAATAATGGATCACTTGATGCTACGCAAAAACGCCTTGCTTTGAAGCACGCTCGCACGGAAGGAAGTAAATGTAACGAATCGATTAAGAAACAAATGAAAAGAAATATTGATTCTTTGCGCCGAATTTTCAAAGAACCTACTTTAAAAAACGAACCGCATCATTTTTTATCTGTTTTATTTTACGCATGGCAGCCAACGGGTAGAAACAATGGGAAAAACGTCATTATTTAAAATTGGTCTTGCTAATTTTAACATTTGCATCAATCTCGATATATAAATTCATTAGCCCCTACATACCATGCTCATCGCATTTTGAAAAGAACAATGGTTTATTGTTGGTATTTTTCGAAGAACAATCGGTATTTTTGTTTGTTTTTCTCTTGTTGATTATTACATTATTATTACCAACCAAACAAAAACGTTGTGTATTTCAGCTTTAATTACTTTTCATCCATCTTTTTATTTATAATCTAGGCATATTTCAGTATGCTAAGTTTTTTTTTAAAAATATTTTCCTAATATTGTATTTAAAATCCTACAGAAGCAGATACGAAATAGATTTTTGCATAATAACAAACTAAATACGTAAAACTAGTAATGTTTCCCGAGATATCGGTGTTGGTAATTGGATATAATAAAACTGTGCCACATTTTCAATAGGACATAGGAATTAGACATATGTCCCATTTAAAGATGACGCAGCAACTGTTGCAACGTGGTGACAAATAAAGCATCACCTAGTTGGAACTAGTTGCGGCTTATAAAATTTTGGAGTTGCTACAGGTGACAAATAAGCATCACATACTTGCTGCGCCATCTCTAGTCCCATTCCAATTTATAATATTAGGCAGCTTATAGTACTCGGGATTTTCTAGTTTGCTATTCTAAAGAGTTTTTGCAATTAGACGCGCGCGCTATCAATTGTTTTGTTCAATTTGCTCCAATCACTTTTCGCACCAATAAACGTTCAAAATGGCGTGGAACTTTTAAAGCGTGGGTACTACGGTGACCGTTTAGATTTTTTTTATTTTAGTATGTAGATTACGTTAATTGACGCAAAAACTCTTCAATATCATCTTATGACTATGCTTGTTCCTTGTTAGCGTTATGATAAGCGAGTCCCGCAATTGAAGATATGACTGTATTATTAATCACTGAATGGTCAAGAATATTTTCAAAACATTTGATGAGAAAACTGCATGTGATTTTGATTTTTGCCAGTTATTGTAGAAAGGACGTTTCAAAAATTATATTAGCGATAGTATATAACAATAGTAGTATTGAGTATAAAGTATAATGAAGTTCATAAATACAGTCACTTGCTCAAATGCATCGCTCGCTTACTTCAATCAATACATTGAGCGTAATCCTTCAAGCAAGCATCCATGCATATACTCGGTCCATCCTAAAAGAGTTAAAATCATTGCAATATTGCTCCGACAGCATTTTTTCGTGATATATTATTCTTATTAAATATATAGGCCCATGTACTAACTACGTATTCGTTCATAGTCATCATCACCATTATTTTTTTTCGCAGTCGTTGACGTCTTACTGCATCTATGTTTTGCATGTTTTGAATAGTTTCTCACGACGACGACGAATTTCGAGAGCTTTCTTTATCTCACCGTCGTATTATCAAGACAACTTATACTACTTTTACTATGAAACGGTTAGTTTATAGCAAATGTATCAGTATATGTGATATGTGTTTTGAACGCCCACATACGTAATCTCGTTTTTGCATGTATCGGTATCGGTTATGTGCATCACTTTTTTTCAACCAATGGAAAAGGAATCATATTTTATCTCGTCTTATAAATTGAACACAAAGTTAGATACTCTAAAAATGGCAATTTTTAGATTTATTTGTTGTGTTTCTCCTTATTTTTAATTTAAACACAAATTTATCGTCGTTTTTGGAAGTTAAAAATGTGGAGAAGTCAATTTTAAAGTATGTTGATATCTTTTTCGCCATTAATTCTTTAAGCTTGTACGTGTTTATATGCATGGATTATTTGTTTACGAGGGTCAATACCAGAAACAAATTAATTTAATATAAACAAAACATTCCAGATTTCTTGTTTTTTTTCGAGAAAGATTTCTTTATTTGAAAAACAAGAGGCTCATGCGGTCTCAAAAGTTGTGAACTTGTTGTAACTTGACCAAGTCAATAAAATTTCTGAGCCCCAAAAATTAAACGACCTTTTTGAAGAGATGCCCTACAGTTGACTAGACCCTCATCTACGTGACAAATATTACATATACATGAACGCACTATGCACAACAAAATCACGCTGACAGAGCACATACAGATGAAACTGCCTGGTTTGTGGTTGATCTTGAATCAAAAGGTTCTTTTTGATACGAGAAACAAGTAAAGCTTCATAGTGAATAGGATCTTCCGAATCTAATCATGATTGTATTGTTTTAATAAATATTTTTTGGTCCCAATTTCTAAAAATAAATCATGCATAAAAACATCAATCGCAGAATCAAGAAGTGCATGATTTTTTGCATTGATAATTAACAGGAATCTTGATTACTCATCATACAAACTGAAATGAAACATGCGACAAAACAAGAAGGCGTTTATTGCACATACTTTACGTATGTCTGAATCGCAAAAGCCCTAGCGTACATGATAATGAGAATGCAACTTTTTCTCTTTTTCGTGAAGAAAAAAAAGTGGGATAATAAAAATAAACGATGAATTTTTTTTTCGGACTCTCCTTAATTCAAGAAAACGTACGACGACATTCGACTGCTGTATACGTGTTGATAATGATACCAAAGTGTTTCAGAATTAGGATTTGTGTATGCTAATGTACTTTGTGCATGTGGACACTAGTTTATTAAGTTTCACAACACTAATTCTAATTTAGGTATTTTGAGACGCAGATTTTGTTTGATTCTAACTTTAGCAGCTTTAGCTAGAAAATTATCCAAATTTCGTACCATGTAAACAAATATCAGATGCTTGCAAAACCTTAAACATGAAAATCCTTTTTCCATTTTTCCAAATAAACTGGGATTTTCAATGCATCGGTGGGCGTTTTTCCTTTTAACCATTACTTTTTACTGGTCTTTTGTTATCCAAATTAAATATCGCAAACAAACATGCGTAATTTTTCCCGAAGATAAATATTTGTTTTGATATACTCGAGACCAAGCGAATTCATATTTAGGAAAAATAAATACGAAAAAACACAATGGAACAATGGAAAGGGCATCAATCTTGAAACCCAAAGATAACAAGGGATTCTTTTTGTCTCGTCAATTGTCCATCGAGTATTCTTAAAATTTTCGTCCGTGCAACCATTTTTCGCCCCAGTTCGAGAAAAAACAGGTATTCACTTACACCGGACATGTAAGTTCCATGAACAGTAAAATGGATCCGCAATTTGCTCATGCAAGTCTTCTTTGTCCATTTTTTCATAAAGCATAAAGCATACAGACAATTTTTTACGTATTCTTTTTGCGCATGGACAGAATTTACCATTTTCTCCTTGCATATACAGCATTTCGCATACACAGGTAACCGATGAAAAATCTTAGATAATAGTTTCGACCATTTTGAAAAATCGGTTTTTTATTGTATAAAATCGATCCGAGAGAATGAGAGGCATCAGCAGATTCAAACTGAGCATTCATTTTATTTTTATCGTTATCCATTTTATTGCATATCGATAAACTCGTTTTTTTTTTAACCTAGCATACACACAAAAAGAGATCGACACACGACATGTGTCATTATTTGCCTCTACTTCAAGTCGGATATGTGTAAAAATCAGGTTTGAAACAAATAGGTGTTGATTCGCTTAAACTGCTCCGTTTCACTTTTGACCAATGGTCATTATTGTACATTCGAGTAATACTAGCAACAGGTTTTCTCAACTTATTGATTCATAGAAGCACTGACGAACAGACAAACGACTTTCACTCTCAGAAATATACGATTTAGATTTTTATTCGCTGCGAATTTATTATTGCATCATGCGTATGTTTGTTCCCAAGTAAAAGTAAACAAACAAATCGTCTAGATAATCTGCAGAGATCGTGATACCTCTTGTGTCAAAGCCACTGATAATGAAAAACCAATTTCCAAATTTTGCCAACAAGAGAAATAGGCATTAAAGATGAGAACAATATGAAATATTTCGAGTTTTTATTATTGTTATTCTGATGAGAAGATTATTTACATACGTATTATTGAGAAGATACTTATTCGACGAAATTAAATTTTATATGTACAATTAACTAAATACTTTTGTCAACTATTAATCTTAGTAAAAAAAAAAACAACACTTGTTTTACAAACTTATGAACTGCTGCTTAATATTGTTCAAAATCTGTCGTGGTAGAACCTTCCACTGAATCCATCCACTCGGACACTTCTTGCTCAATTAACCGATCCTCCATTTCCTGTTCCATTTGTCGTAATTGACGCTCGTAATGCATAATCATAGATATACGATACCGCTTATGAGAGGTCATTTCAAAATTTGAAGTGAGTTCCTCTTCGGTGTCATAAAGTGAATTTTTCTTCCACTCATCAATTGAGACGTATGAATTACAATTATCATTGTTATATTTATTTTCGTAGGTATATTCGGAGTTAGTGGTCCGGTGGAAAGGATGCGTGAGACTATCGTTGTCGTCGATTGTGTGTAAACTTTCATCGTCTGTTGAAGATTTACCGTCCGAATAATAATCACTTGAATAGTCTTGACCGAAATTATCATTCTGTTCGTGGTATTGATGTGGATGATGATATTCCGCGGCAGTTTCTTCTTTGATGTATGCGCCGTCGAAATCATCAAAATATAATGTGTTTGGATCGAAACAAGATTCGGTTTCGTCGATTGTCTTTTTTGGTTCTTCTTTAATGTTTAGATATTCTAATAACATCTGCGCACGAACCAAATCATTGGAAAAAGAATCATTTTCTGTCGATGCAGAAAAAGGGGTTTTTTCTCCAAAGCGAGAGTCAAAACAATAAGTGAATTGAGACATTGTTTGTTGTATGAAAGCCATTTTAGTATATAATTGTTCTTCTGTAGGGATAAAAATCTTTTGACATTCTAGGTGTGGAAAGACGAAGTTCTATATATAATAAAACACGCGCACATCTTATCTATTTACGATTATAAGCGGAAAACAATCGAGTTTGCCACAATTCTTACCACACAATAGTCTTTTTTAAATGCGCCCCTGTGGCAAATTACTTATCAAAAGACGAGATCGTCTTATATTGTTCCAGAAATCGGATTTTACTAGCCACAATGATATTATTGGTGGTGCACTGTGTAATATGACATCATTATATGATATGTAATACATCAATGTAAAACACTACACGTTTTTATTACGTGCGTATAGCAAAGTAATACACTTTCTTTTCTCGAAAAGTTTCATGTATTATCTTTCTTTTCTGCTTCTAAGAAGAATACTAAACGAGATACAAATATCGTAAAAGCATTTATATTTATTGTTAAATCAAGATTAATTACTTGTGGTTCTCGAAAAAAACCAGTTGATTGTAAGAAATAAAGCTTATTTCCCTATTACAGTTTTCTAATGAATATATACTTATAGAACCTTTGCATTATATGCATGTACTATAATGATGTAGATTGACTTTTGTATAGAGTGGTGTACTAGCAGAAGAGGGTCACTTGATGTTTATTTAATATTCTATATACATGTATTTTGCTTAATATTGTATTTTAATGCTGTTCCTAGTCACACTGCGTATAACGTGAACTCGAAACGTGCGTATCCAGTTTGATTCAAAATTAATATGCCGCAACGTCCAAAGACCAAAAATTGAAATAGATCTAGATATATAGTTTCATATACTACCCATTGTAAAAATGTTTGATATGAAACATCAAATATTCATATATAATCTGACTAAAAAAATTTAGAATCATTTTTTTTGCATATTTTAAATAAATTAAAAATTATAAAAACACACGAAAATTTAAAATGAAATCAGGTGTTTTTTTTTAATAAGAAAAACATCATGTATAAAGCGATAATGTGTGTAAGCAAATAATTTCTATCGTCAAAAGAGTGTTTTCCTTTTTATTATTTCCTTTACCAAAAAAATATTTTCCCAGGATCAAAGAAATCACGACTCCTAGTATGAGAGCTCAAGTGGACTCAAATTTTATCGATGTTAAATTCTAATAGAACTAATAAAAATTGTATATTAAAAAAATGAAGTTTTGTTGATTGAATTTTTCTAAATTGTTTATTCGTAAATTAAATTACTAGTATGAATGACACAAAATTAGCTAAAAGTATGAGTTTTTTGTCTTGATAAATTTTTAGTGTCTAATTATAAATAAAAAAATAAAAATTATTTGACTTATTTTAATATTAGAAAAAGTATTTTTATTAAAATATTTTAATTGAATGAATGTTAATTTTAATAAAATGTAACTTTGTATTTAAATCAAAAAATAATTCTATTTTGTAGAAAAATTATTAAAATTTAATATTTTTTAATTTAGATTAAATTTGTACTGCTATTATTTTAATATTTTTATAGTAAAAAAAGAGTTTATATTAAGATTTTTCAATTGAATTAATGTTTTAGTATTTTTTATAAAATATTGATTTGTTTTTAAATTAAAAATATGATTTATTTTATTTAGCATTTTAATTTCAAACGAAAATAAATAAATATAATTTATTTTTATTTATTCTTAAATAACATTTTAATTTTAAAAATTAATTATAAAAGAAATATTTTTATAATTCTTAATTAATATATAACTTAACAAAATACATTATAATGCTTTAATTCATTAAAATGATGTTATTATTTTCGCACTGAACTTGATAAAAACTATAAATAAAGAATGAATGGTTTTTCATATATATTACTAGCAAAATGATAATAATATATTTTTATAAATTAATTATATATAATAAAACCTATAACAAAGCTATAATTTTTGGTTATTCAATTATTACTGGTCATTAAAGATTCTGTACTATGATTTTTTTTGCATTTTAAATTTTATTATTTATGCTAGTTTATAATTTTTGTATGGTGCATGACATGTTTATCCATTTTATAAAATACAAACGTTTGATGACTTTAGATGTTATGCACCATATATATTTATCTATTATAATATAAAATTATTGTAATTTATTTATAAAATATAGTGAAATACAGGTTTTTTTCTTTATATAAATGTTTCCAATTTTAGTAATCAACATAATATTTTTTATTTTTATATCAAAAAAGGTCAAACTATAAAATCTGATCTTTTTTAAAGTAAAATTTAAAAAACTCTCATTTCATGATATATATATTGCGTAATATAATTTTGATTAAAATTTTTGAAAAAAATAATATTAACTTTTTATATAGACTACCAGGACAACTCCCCAAAGTTCGGATCACGTGATAATTTGTTGATGTCACCAATGCGAAAAGAAAAGTGTTAGTCATGTGATACTAACCGTCTGACATTCTCCTTAATTATAATAATAAATTAAGTTTTTATTAAGAATTATATGGCATATAGAGACACAATTATAGTAAAATTTCGCAAATAACATTTTTTTATATAAATAATATTTAATAAATGAATTATTATTTTTTTATTTTAATTATTTAAAATAGAATAAGAATATATAGTCAAACTTTCCTTATAGAAAAATATGCAATTAAGAAATTTTTTACTATTCTGTATATAGATAGAAAAGCAAATAGATAAATATAGAGAGAAATATTAATCAAACTATAGAGATTTATTTAGTTAGAAAAAGATTTGAATTAGTTTTTGTAATTACTAAATTTAAATTTTTAAATTTTGAAAATTACAATTTATTTTTGATATGCTTCAATTTTAAAATTAAAAAATTTATTTTGAATTTAAATTGGAATTTTTGATTTACTTTTGCTTTTTGGCTTATCTCTAATTTTATAATTGAAATAACTGGTTGGGTATTTATTTATTTGGATTCAATTTCTTTATTTTTCAAATTATAATATCAGATATGATTTGAAATTTATTTATACTAGAATATCTTCAATTCTAATATTGAAAATATTTTTATAAATATACAATTTATTATAGTTATGACTTTACAAAAACAAAGTTAAATAAAATTTATCTATTAAATTTACAGAAATAAAGAAAAATAAAAATTAATTAAATGAACAAATAAAAACAAATAAAATAAAATCAGGAAATTCTCTGGTAAGTATCCAGAAAATTTCCAAGATTTTTTGATTCTTATTCATAAATATTTTTATAAAAACAACATAAATAGAATTCATCCGTTTATTGTTAGAAATATTGATAATAATGCTAGAATATTCTGAAGCTAGTTAAATATTAATAAAAAAATGGGACGGTAACTGAACTCGATGTTTACCATCTCTTATAAAACATCACTGAGTAATGGCAACACCTTTTATTTATTAGTGCTAGAGATCAATAATTGTTTCTAAAATTTCTACACGTTGCTCGAATACTGCAATAATTTTTTCATCGAAATTAACAAATATTTTAAACCACCTTTACGACGATGATGACATAAATTTCCGAATCAGATGAAGATTCTGTCCACCAACATGTGGTATTAACGTTAACTCATTTAATTACTATACAAGGAAATCAATGTTCTCAGTCTTTCTTCAACTTGTTCATTCACATCTTAGGCGTGTTATCTGACTCTTCATGGACGGCCGGATTATCTATCAATTTATCTGGCGCATGATAGAGACCCGCATATTAATATGCAAGTGAAACAACTCCATATTATTCCCTCAGAAGCTGTATTTGATACAAACCCCCCACCGAGAAAACATTGAGGGAGAGCTGACAGACATTTTGTTTTTTTTTTACTGTCTTACATTGCGCTCAATTTCCTAACTTAAGAGTCCTTCATATTTACTAAAATACATTAACGTTGTAAAAGTATATCGATATAGATAAAGTAATGGGAAAACAAAAATGGCTAGTTGTGTCAAAAAAATCATAAAATGGACCGTGAAGAATATGTATTTGTTTGATAAATCTTTTAAGTTTTATAAAAGTTTATCATTTAAGACGTCTGGAAGAACGTAAAATTGAATTTCCCGGCATTTTTACAAGCAAACTTTACGTACTTTTATAATACACACTAAACGATAACTTTTTCAGTCTATTTCAGCGTATACAGGTGTATCAAATAATACAGTTATATTTCGTGTTATTTTTACAATAGGGGTATATGAAACCGCGAATTTTATTTATAAGTTGGAATCAAATGAATGTATAAGATTATTCACAGAAAAAATGACATTCCATGGAAGCCGTACGTCTCTTTTTATATTGTTTCATTCTTTCGATAGTCATGAAAGAATAAATACACACCACACCCAGTTATTGTACAAATAGACGCAATACGGATTACGCATTAATGAGAGCAAGAAAATGATTGTGCCCCGCACCGGAATATTGAGGTAATTATCGATTGGTACTGTCTTTTTGTTACAGAATATAAATAAATACCAAAAGCAAAGACGTAAAGAAATGTGCGAGTCTCAAACCAAAGATTAATATCATTCAGCACCATTTTTCCATAAACAACACACCGCGTATGTTCTGAGAAACATGCAATGAGGGATCATCCTTAGGTTATAACTTGTGCAACTACATGTATTTCGAAATCGAGTAAACTTTGCTGTAGCCAGACTTTGTTTTGAGTTCGAGTTATGATGTTTTAAAGTTTGTTATACGTATCGATATATGATCAAGTGAAATTTTGCTGATTGATTTGCCCAAATTATGGTTGATAGAAGTTAACACTATAAGTTATAGTTTAATTAATTATCGTTTATTGAAAAAATCTATTGAACAACATATACATAATAAAAATCGCCTAGAAACCTGCATTAAAAAGTTAAACTTTAAACCTTAGAAATTTTCTGTTTTAACAACTTAAAATTAGAGAATAAAACTTTAAATCTTAACAATAATTTTCAAATAATAGAGACAATTAAGAATAAAATGAGGTCTTTTCAGTAATATATTAAATGATTGTGAAAAGAGATTTTGAAGGTATTTAGTTGGTATCAATGATAAGCGTCCATAAGTACTCTTGAAATATCATTGTCGTTTACATTCGATGTAGGAGACGGATTATTGAGAATATTAGTAATTCCATTGACAATACTTTGCGCCGTAGTAACCATGTTTAAATGTCCTGCCGGCGGCAGCGGTGGTTGCTGTTGATTTTGTTGTGGTAGTGGTTGTTGTTGGTTTTGTATTTGATTTTGTTGATTCATGATTTTCTTAAAATTACATTAATCGAAAGTAATGGAAGTTTCAATTTGAAGAATTTATAGCAAATCGAGTAAGGAAGGGTTTTGAAAAAGACTCGTTTATATCTCTCTTGTGTGTTCTTTCCAAATTAGGTAATGCTGTTTAATTGAACCTGAGAAGAACCCGAATAAATTTTTGTTCGAGATCGTTTATTACACTTAATTTGTGACCCGTATTCACTATTATATAACCGTTACATTTACTGTACTATCGCTATTACATGTATACTAATTGTCAAATATAGAAACTATAATAGAATTTTAATGCGATAATAAATTTATAAGTATTAAAAATGTTCTCACTAACACAATTGATTTTTCCTTTTTTGTTTATTTATTTATTTTCTAATTTTACTCATCATAAATTACACAACTTTTAATTCACAATGACATGATTTGTTTAAATTTTAAACTAGCAGGTGTTCAAATCAAAGCTTTCTTTCATAGGTTAAAATAAAATGAATTTATCGGCATTGGATTTTGAAGTTGTCCCAAAATCCATTTTCATGGGGCTAACGCACTGTTAAAGTAATTTGTATGCCGAACCAATTAAAGGTTGGTAACTACAACAAGTGTACACGGTTAATTTAGCGTTAGAGTTAGATATTGATCCATTACTCAGTCTCCACTATAAATAATTCATTATACGTTAAATAAAAAAAAAACATTTTTTATACTTCAAAGTCGATAAGTCAATTTATATTATTAATTAGCATGCAATTCAACCATGGATGTGACTACAAAATAAAGTAGAGATAAACGAATGGTTCAAAAATTACCATCATGGGGAATCATGATGAAAACGGATTATGGTAAAACTTTGGCCAAAATTGGGCAGATCATGGGATCATTTGGCCAGAATTATCGATACTTTCTTATAATAAAAGAGCAATATTTTGAAATTAATGATAAATGCATTAAATGCATAAAATATATAACTTAAATTAATTTTGCAATTGCTAAATACTATGTAAAAATTTATGAGTATAATTGTTATTTATAGTTAATTATAATAGATATTGCAAATTTCCCCATAATCCGTTTTTCATCATGATCCCCACAATTAATAAAATTGGCGCTTGTTTGATAGCAGGGATAAAGTCATACATCATCATATTCTTGAAGAAGATATTTGCAATTGTGTGGTTGTTCTTTAGGTGATGCTTTTTTTGTCCTGAATTGAACCTTTTGAAATTTTGACACGCATTAATAAGCCAACTCAGTTATCATGTAAATTTAAAGCACCGTTTAAAAATTTAAAGAGTATCTATAATCTTTGACAACACAAATGCTATCGCATAACAAGTTCGATTTTCGATACACTCAAACTATTAATTACCTGTTTTCTCGAGAGAATAGAACAACCAAAACATGAAACTATGTATTTTATTTTGGCGTTTTCAGACTTCTAAATTCCGATGACGGATACGTGTAATTTACTGACTGTATTAGCATCGAATTAATGGACGGGTCTACAATATCAACTTAAAGACACTGATTCAGTCGTCACCTTTCTTAAACATTGATTTTTAGAGGTACTTATTTGCTGGAAATAGGGATTGAAATCGATTCTCAATCTCTCATGTACTGTATAAAGTAGCACCTGAAATTTCACCTAACTTCTAAATCTATCCAGTCTTCCAAAATTTTGATCAAGTTAAATTAGATTTGATAAAACGATAAATTATAATAAGTACTGATATCGGGTCGATTTTTTCAATTTATAATTTTGCTCGAGTTATTAACGTTAACGTTAGAGTTAACACGTGATATATGGTTAGATGAAAAAAATTAACCAAGAACATCTGAGGGTAGTAGTAGCGGTAAATTTGACCTAAAAAATCTCGTAATGTTCCAAATAGAGAAATAGTTTTAAATAATCAAATGACGGGTCGTTTATTGGTTCCTATCAGAAATATGGAAATTGGAGATATTCAAAATAATGAAACTAACAATATACAGGAAATTGGCGTTGATATTAATGAAAATGATTGGAGAGATGATGAGAATAATGGTTGGAATGATGAAATCAATATCGATATAAAAATTTAACATGGAATGAAATTCAACAATCGAAAAACAAAAACGTGGTCGTTGTTTTTGATAGACAGAACTAAAAAAGTCGACATACGGGCTACTGCTAAAATTATCGTTATGCAATACATGTATTTAACGTTAACAAATTCTGAATCTTCCAATGAATAAATTTATATAAACGTCGATCAATGGATATCGGTATAACAAAAAACGAATATCCAACAATTGGCGTGCATGATAATCATACGTAATCGCGCGTAGAGAAACCTAAAAAATACATTTGTACATGTAAAGAATACGAAATTTTATATCTACTTCGTATTGGCTTAACGTATTGGGTTACAAATTTCAACATCATCAAGGCGTTTTTTATGTACATGTATCATCCAATATCGCAAAAAAATTTTTGAGTCAAATGAAAGAATACAAACAATTACGTAATGTCACAATATTAAGGAGAAAATATGATTCGAATTTTATCTATTCTTCAAAATGATAAGTTAATTTCTTAAAGAAATGTTTATAAAATTTATTTTTATATTTAGATTTTAATCTTAGTATATACATATGATTATAAAAAATTTACTCTATAATGTTTTGAAAAAACTTAATAAAAAAACTTAGAAAGTAAAATCATATCTATCTATCTATATATTGTACATAGTTAAAACTTTAGCTTATGTGGTATGTGAGTGAGCTTATCATATACGCATGTCATATTATTTCTGATATTTAGATGCATAGGCAACCGGGATCCTATATCGATGTTAATTCGCCTCTATTGTAAACAAAATTTTATCGTCTTGACCACTTCGATTTATCAAGTTTGTCTTTGTAATAAACTGACTATTTACATTATAATCTATTATCTAAGAATATAAAAAAAATATTTACAAAACTTTTATCATTATTAATAATGTTGTAATTGTTTTTGTTGTTGAATTCCCATTATTTTTTTCTGATAATGCTCAACCAGCGAACTCTGATACGCAGATTTAGTAGAGAAATGAAATTCCGGAACTTTGGTTATGTCGTCATTGATAGTAGAGAAGCCTTCGTTATTATTGATTATTAAGAATTGATCATATTGACTATTTACAAACTCAGATACATTGCCGCTTGCTGTTTTAAAACTTAGGTAGTCATCGTCGTCAGCGGTTGTAGTGGTTGTAGTGGTTGTAGTTGTGGTGATTGTAGATACTGATTGATTATCATCGTTGCTGCTGCTGTAGTTCGATACGAACGAAAAATAGTCGGTCTCCAAGTATCGTTTATACTATTGATTTTAATATATAAGTCATTAGCGTCAATATTTATATTGATATACAGTAAATAATAAATTATATTGTAAAAATGCTTACAGCTTGATAATCATTTTTGTCTACTTCTTCCTCTTCGTCACAATAAATTCCATCAAAATCTGTGAAATCCAAAGTTTCAGGATCAAACAACGTATCATTATTATTTTTATTAACGTTAATGCATGTTCGATCGTAGAAATCTGCACTGTTATCGTTAAGTTTAACCGAATGATGACTTTTTTGCATATCTATCATTTCGACATCGTCGTTAATAGCTTTGTCGTTTGTATCATTGTTGGTGCCATCGTCGTTTGTATCAAAATCGATCGTTCGTTTCAGTCTAGAGATTTCGTCAATATTATCTTCGTTGACATTATTATTACTTGAAGAAACCATTTTGTTAACGTTTTTATTATTAAATTAAAGTAGCATTTAAATGACTTGCTGAGAAAGAGCAAATCTTTCAAGCCATTATATAGTTTTACCAATCGCTATAATAAAATGTCAAAATTATAATATACTGTACTGTAATAACATAAATACAACCACAACTACGTACATGTGTTAAGCCAATGCACAGAAATGCATTTTCACGAGAAAATCTTAGGGGTATCGAGTGAGCCGTGTTAGATTGACGAGATAGATTAACAGATAGAACTACAAAAAACTTTTTACTGCCAAACTCCTAGATTTGTAGTGAATTATGTTTATCGGAACATGAAAATTACATTTATGTGCAGCGATTCGCTTTTATGAAGAAAATAACAATAATATTACCCATTCGTCGACACTGGCAATTGTAGGTCTAATTCTATCGCTATGTACGTAATTGGCGTCCTTTGTTGACTATTCGGTTAAATTCTTATCATAAATGCTATGTGAACATATTCTTCACAAATGTGAAAAAAACAAAAAAGGAAATGTTGAATGGTTACAATAACGTCATTTTATTACTTGATTAAATTACTTGATGAAACTTACCTTTCTTTAAGAGAACTTTTTTATATTGTTATTCCATGCGAATATTATTGTCGTTTATGCATGCACCAGAAAAAATTTGACAGCTGTTTGATGAAAATGACTGGCATGTGGTGATTTTTCAATTGCAATTATAGTCTCGAGTGCCCTTTAAAGACTGGGACTAGAAATTTTTTTGACAACTCAGTTGTACAGAACAATTGTTGTTTTTATCGTTTACTTCCACGTTGCGATAAATAAAGTAATATTGTACATTTTCTTATTCTTTGAGTGAAAGCAGAGAAGAAATTTTTTGACTAGCCCTTATGTGTATTTGTGTGTTACGTTATAATAATTTTGACGTGTGCTCAGACCACGCAAAGCATACTGATACGTATTAAAAATTTTCTTACAATCAACATTTTAAAAATTTACAAACAATTCCAATTAGACTAAAAGAAAAGTCCAGAATAATTAATTCTGAAGCCTTTATAGCGAAAAAAAAAGTATAACATACAAACAATAGTCACACGGTAAAACGAATGCATACTATGAACCTCCTATTGCGTAATGGTCACCTTTATGAGAATTCAGTTGAAGGAAGAATTGACGTTCCGAGTCCACAAAGTCAAGCATGTGTTACGAATAATGATACTTGATGATAACGAAACCTTTCGTCACGTCAATTGGACGAAACTTTCACCATGGCCACTTTGGAAATGTAAGTGGCGAATGACAAATCGTGTGACGAATGGCAATTTTGGCAAACTAAACCATAAAAATAATAGGTAAGTCAAGCTTTATTAATTTATCAGTTTATTTTTTGCATAATTTTTACCAGAGATATACAGGACAGGTTTAAAATTGCAGTCAAGGTCCTTTACAACGGCCGCATTGGATTAGTTCTTATATCATAAACTTCGGTATATAAGGGATTTTAAATAGTTAAAATCGTGAAAATCAAGATACCAATACGGTATAAACCGAATCCGATATACAACGCTGTTGTAAAGGACTTTGACTATACACTTTTCTCAAGTTTTCATAATGCTGGCCTAAATTCAGCATAATTTTGATCGTCTATAGCCTGCAGCCAATCAAACACATGTTCTAGATTTCTAAAGGCGTAACGGTAAAAATTTGTACATGTGAGTTTAGCTATTACTTTGATTGGTCAGAAGGTTTCATCGATTATCATGTGATTTAAGTTATTAGTTTTATTGGTCAGAAGATTTCGTCACAGGTTTCATCAATCGTCACAAGTTTCATTAATCGTCATGGGTTTCGTCCGACGAATAACTGACGAAACCTTTCGTCATCATGAAATAGTTTCGTCAGGCATCATTAATAGTATAGTTAAGCAGATCAAATACTTGTATTTTCTAAATTTAACTTTGAATATTCATCATTAATATTAATTGTCTTATATCAATTCGTAGCTCTAATTACGATCTATAACTTAGAATCTCTTTGAACATTTACTTGAACACAAACTGGACTTTTGATCAAGTTCAAGTCTGGTTTGAAGTTTGAACTGAACTTGAACCAGATTTTGAATTGAATTCAAATATTTAAGCTTGATTTTAGATTAATGCAAGCTCAAACTGAACCAGATTTTTTTTTCAGAACTTTAACTACATGATAAATAACTATTATTCCATGGATATAATATATATTCAATAAAACTTATAATAACATTACAGTTATTTGCAAATTTTTTGTTAGTTTTCATTTTATTTTATTTTTTTATTATGAATTATACCAATTTGATACTGAAAAGATATTTTTGAGTTACAAAATATTATTTCTTAGTAAAAAAGTTTATATATTTTATAAAATACAAATGTTTGATAACTTTAGATTTTATATACTATATAAAAAATGATCTATATATTTATATTAATATATTAAATACAAAAACTTATTTTGAAGAAAATTAAATTTGTTATATTTTTGCTGATTTTTTACTATTATTATTTATATATTTTTTAATATAGATTTTAAAAACAAAAGCTATTCACAAATTTCTCAGTATTTAGATTAATAAATCATATTATACAGTCAAGAACTCTATTAAATAATATTTCTAATCGATATTTTTCATACATCCTTCAAACTCTCAAGTAATAAAGAAATTTATTATTATTTGCATTATTATTATTATTATTTCTGATATAAGGATATGTAATAATAATAAATCACATGATTATAAATATTAAGTTTGATAATACTATAGAAAATTTTTCACTGGCGTATAATATCCATGGGATAAATATATATACCAAGATATTGCAAATTACAAATCTTCCATCAACAATTAGAACTTTTACAATCACGTACTAAATATTAGCTGAAAGTTTGAGTACAATAGGAATTTCTATACAAGTAATACTTGATTTTCGTGAAATATCTTATAATGTCTATGAAAAACTATTATCATATACTGGAAGTGAGAAATTTCTTGGAGAGTGTAAGCAACCATTTAAAATAAAACAATACGCCTATTAGTAGGATACTATATGAAAGTATACCATGATTGTGAATTTATCTTTATGCAACATGTGATTCTAAATCAGATCAAAATGCAATTTATATGAGTGATATAGTAGAACGATTTGCTACAATTTGATTGGGCAATGAAGTCTTCAGCTCAAAACATTCACACTCAGATTTGAGTTCTTATATTATTATTATTATTATTATTATTATTATTATTATTATTATTATTATTATTATTATTATTATTATTATTATTAT